TTTAACAGAAGCAAATACTATGTCCTAGAAGTTTCACTTCACATTCTTCACTCAGCATCAACCACATTCTCATCTTCCTATACAGCCGTTACAATAATCCTGATATTCAAATTAAGAACAACCCTTTTGCTGTTTTGTCACTGGGTGATTCATCCTAAAGCAACACAGGTTGTCAAAAAGCGTGACATCCTTATAAAACAGTAAGCAATGGGTAATAACGCTATCAGGCCAACACACTACAGATTAAAAAAGCCAATGAACCATAGATAAAAACACATGATCCCGTATCTTCCCTCTGAAGACGACTGCAAGTAGAAAGCCCATCTTGTTTCAAACCACAGCATTAAGGACTCCAGAGCTTCTCACTGAACTTCCAGCAGAAAGTTAATACCGACTTCTGTCACGACTGCGTTTCACCAGCAAGCTTTTCTTCCAAATACCACATGGCTCTCTTCAAGCACCACTATTTCTACATCTAATCCATTTTAAAGACTACTGACTTAAACTGACATTTTGGGAAAAGCAAGGAGGCCAGTCTTCTCATTGCGGTACAGACCGAGGTTTCCTACTAACATCCAGACTACATAAAGCTTCTGAATGGCATACAAGAGAACAATTCCCTAGAAGACTTGGAACAGGGAGCTCACATTTGCAAGCCAAACTGCCAACACCCTATAAAAGATCTTGAACAGCAGCAGGGACAAGAATACAGCCCATTTGGCCAAGTCTTTTCCTACTGTAAATTATGCCGTCCCTTACCTTTGAAAAGCTGCTTACCGTACAGCCAAGAAAGAGCTCACAGACATCCGTTTCTGGAAGGGCAGAACGCACACTGTGCTCGTTCTCAGCAAGAAGGCCCTAGAGCCAAGGGGTATTTCCAGAGGCTCTGCCACCTGAATGAACAGCTGAAAGTAAGTGTGTCAGAAGCAGGCAGATCAGCTGTGCATTTCCTGGCCAAGGACTAACATGGGAAAGTGCATTGACCGCACAATAAGAAATAAGCAGTAAGCCTAACAAAGTACTGCCCCGTTCAGTTGAAGACCCATCACTTCTCATTCATCACAGGCAAGAAGGTCAGCGTCTAACACCTCCCAGCAGTGGTCGGATGAGAAACAGACTGCTGGATTCCTTACTCACAGGACAGTACACCGCTCAGACTGCCTGCTCCCATACTTTTCTGGGAAGTTGCCTTCTACAGGCTTAATCACACCTGTCAGCATATACACAAGTTCCACAAGCTCTCCCATTCCTACAGCCGATAGGAAAAGATCCTGCACAGTCATTCTAGTACAAGACAGAATTCCAGCCCGAGTAGGACACTGCTATTGCTAATGTATATAGCTGCTTCACCTGTCATCCTAGGCAATGTTTTTGCATTTCCTGTGCCACCAAAGTGCATGTCCTATGGGAAATGGAAAGTGCTCAACACAGTTACAAAAAATAATCTCTTTTTGCATATCGGATGGGACCTTTCACTTGAACAGAGTATCTGGTCAGAGCTGGAACTGTCCCCTTCTTCAACATGAAACATCTCCATGGAGTGTACCATGAAAGGCCAAGTGCACATGCATCTGAGGCATAACTCAGCAGGTATCAGCATGAACGAAAGCAAGCAGCATGGCTAAGAGGCTTAATTTCCTTAGCTTCCACTCCCTTTTGGAACCAGGAAAACACAGCTGTACTTTATTGTCATCTACAGCTGATAGAAAAAGCCATCTTTCTAAAGCAATAGCCTAGGAAAAGAATCTCTGGAATGTAAAAGGCAGTTTGAATGAACGGGACTTGCAGTAATCTCAGCCTACATTCAACACCATTTCTACCAGCACGAGTAGTTTTGCCTGGTCACAGAAGCCTGAAGAGAAGAAACTGAAGGGAAGGACCACCCCAGCTGCGGGTCACTGACATGACTTTGGAGATTTTTGTGAAAAGGCAAGAGAAAAGCAACACGGGTTAATGGAGCTGCTGCTACTTCTGCCTCCAAGGCTGAACTGCAACTTCTTAGCATGCATACACGTACCTATGAAAGAGTCAGAGAAAACTTGGGCAAGCGGGACCCACAGGTGGCAGAACCGTGAGGTGGGCAGTTCAGCCTGAAATACCAGCAGCCCAAGCTTATGAAGGAAAACTGAGAAACGATATACCCACTGATTAGAAGCTCGGAATGCAGTGGTGAGCAGAAGGCTTTGGGATAGCAGGTTATGGCAGAGCCTTAAGTCAGCAAGAGCAGACAACTTTTAGAACCAGAGATTTGCTACATAAAGATGGCGATTTTGAGGCTAGACAAAAATCTCAGGTGTCCTCTGGGCACCTGCAAAGAGCATCAAGGTTTGTTAGTAGCCATAAAGATCCATGAAGTCTTGAGATAAGCTGAAAAGGATGCTCTAACCGGACACTTCAAAGACTGTAGTTCTCTGTGGAATAAAGCTCTCTAAGCCCAGCATTTTGCCCTATAATGACCGTGTGCTTCTAGACACTTGCTGTGTTCATGTACATTTCTCTAGTAGCAGTTTCTGACTGCTGTCAGATGGGCAGTGGACTATACAGGCCTCTTATCTGACCTAGTATTGTTGTTCATATGAATAATGTTATGTGAAATTCATCACTTCTGGAAGACAGTAGGAATTGACTTCAGAAATAACATTTGGTATCTACGCTGAGGTTCTTTATTAGGCTAGGAGATGCAGGATGTGTGAAGACTATGCAGAAGGGTAAGGCTCTCTTACATAGACATGTTAAATGTTTGTCCTATCTGCTAGCAAGCTTGTTACTAGACAGAACTAGTTTAAACAGTGGTAACCTCAAAAAAAGTATGGGGATGGAGAAGAACATTGAAAGATACAAATAATGTGCAGCAGGAGTAAAAGACAAATACTAGCTGCTTAAAATGAAAACAGGGATATAGCCTTGCTGACCAATGGTGACATATGAGAAATGCTAAAAAGAAAATACTGAGGGTCAACTCAAGGAAAACTTGAAGCGAAAAAAAACCACCAAAGAATTGAACTAGGCAGCATATGGTTACATGCAATGAAACAAATCTATGCACAAGCAGATTAATAGACCTGTGAAAGTATCTCCCTGGTAGACAGTAAGAGAAAAAAGTAGAGGTAGTCAAGAACAACTGAAGACTGAAAGACAAATTTCCACCTTCTAGTTGTTTGGTGAAGAATACAAGGCCTAACACCTTTCCTACAAAATATTAAGGCAAAAATTCTCCATGGTCAAGCACCTGAACAGTCTGCACAACCACACCACAGGTACACAAAGAGAAGTGTTTAAAGAACAATTTGTTCAATGTTATAAAGGTCAGCCAAACATTTAATCTTAAGTCTTCAAAATTCTGACTATAGATGTACCAACAGAACGAAAGAAGAGGGGAAAACAGATGCACATGTGAACTCTCCTTGGTATTTTTCAGAGATGAAAAGAGACAGTATAAAGCACGGAATGACCAAAGTTTTCTGGTTTTGGCATGCTTCAATTTTGTTCTTATTCTACTTTTATTAATTTTAATTTTTTTTTAACTGTAGCAATATAAGAAAAGCAAGAAAAACAATGTAATTTGTTTGGGGTTTTTTTTTCCCCCCATCTCCTTTATTTTCTAGATATATTGTATTTTTACCTATACTGAAAAAAGAAAATCAGTCAAGAGGATACTTTGTTCTTATTTCCCCTCCTCTGCTATCCTATCTCCATGCTTGTACTGCAAAGCATGTAAGTGAAAGTCTACATACAAAACAAATTTTAAACTAAAGCATTTAATAAAATATTATTTAAAGAAGCACATACTGAAAGAAACAGGAATCCAGAGGATTCAGTTCTGGTACTATGTATGTTAGTCTTGTATGCAAAATCCACCACGTTTCAGGTTAAAGAATGATAGTATTATTACTTATTTGTATTATAATAATAATACATAACAGGAGTGAATTTCATCCTGTAGGATGTTTTTTTGGTGGTACCTTCTAATTCATACTGCTGTCAATTATGAGTTGATCCCACCCTATGGGAATCTTTCCAGTTTATTAGAAATTCTGCAGATCGCATTAGAAAAACAGTAAGTTGTCAAAACATTAGCTATATCTTATTAAGATGGAAATACTTAAGGCAGATTGTATGGCATACGTATCTTTCCAATTTTATCTTTGCTTTGCAGTTCACGTAAGGGAATGTTACATGAATGGGAACACGAAAAAATAATTACTTGCTCTTACAAAAATCTTTTACTGAAAGAAGGGATTATTTGTAAAAAAGCCATACCTGAAGTATGGTATATTTCCACTTAATCGTGTATTTTTCTGTATATGCACGAGCCACCAAAAAAAGCTGTCACTTCTATAGCAGTAAACAGTTGCTTTTGTTAGATTACCCCCGCCCTAAAAAAATGCGGATTTCCATGTTCTAAGATTATAATTAGTAAGTATCATCATCATAATGCTTTGAAGACCACCATGGAAAAAATCCTGGCAAGGGTTTTGGCCTTCTCATATATTTCACAGCCGATCTCACAATACTCCTGACAGTTTAAGAAATAATAATGAAAGTCATTCAGGTGTAACAGACACCTCTGTTGAGGTATATGGTTGATGGCTAATCCTTTCCAGCCATGTGAAACACTGCAGACGTACGGTAACAATTTCATCTGCACAGACCTACTACAGAATTTCACAGTATATTAATACATACAGTAAGTGATACAGGAATTCTATCAGAGGCACTCATATATTCATTTTACCAACACAATTACTATCTCCCAATATTACTTTTATTTAGAACATGAGAGGCCTTTATAAGCTAAATATACATTCACAAAAAACAGACAGTCATGCACACACCTTTACACATGAATAATTACGTAAAACAGGGTCCCTTACTGCTTTCAGCTCTGCAAAAATACTGCAGTCATGAATTAAACATCACCTTCCAAAGTTCTCTGTTTTGTGCTTGCTCTGGCAAGGTTTCTGGGAACACCGATTAGAATCTGAATAGCTTTACATTACCTCCAACCTTAGGCCCACCAGCTGATCCTGGCTTTCTTGCACTGTTTGAAGGATTTCCTGGCTTTTTAGGTGCCGGAACCTTGAAGGCTGAAGCAGCTGATGATGGCCTATTTCCATCCACTGACTCTTCATCGTCAAAGCTTTTGTCTAGAAAAGGACACAATAAATAAAAATGCAGGTATTAGAATGGATGTGTATTTATTTCCTAATAAACCATTCTGCTTCACATTTCATAGAGATTCACAAAACGTATAAAACCCCCAAATATTTCTCACTTGGTCCTCTGTCTCTGACCTGGGAATAAAATGACAGTGAGAAATAAACCAGCATTTTCTACATGTTAAGTTCTCATAAAATATTATTTTGCCTTCATAATTAACCACTGTAAAATTGAACATGAAAATTAATCCTACACGTTCATTCCCACAAAGGGAAAAATATCTTTGCAGAGATTGAATATTTTTGCTCATTTCTGAATATTTTCTCCAAAGGAAACAATGTAATTTCTATCATTCCATTCTACCAAAGACAAATGCTTCTCCCTTTCCTTCTTTTACTCAGGCATGCATTTTCTGCTACACATCCTCCCACAGTGTGTCTAACCAGCACTCCCTGTCTCTTCCCTTCCACCCAGATTTTTCAACTTACAATCACAGATCCTCTTGCAGATCAGCCGCCTCATTCCTCTGATAGCTCTTCAATCCCCTCACCCTAGGACCGACCCAGCACCTCACATGGCCACGCGCGGTCAATTCTCAATACTAATCAAAGATGCTATCAAAAACTGCTCGCGGACACCCTAGATCCACCACTGAGATTTGTGCCGGCATCTTTCTCTGCCTTCCCCGCACTCGGCGCCGCGCAGCCAATGAGCGGCAAGGTGACATCATCTTCTGGGAGCCACCCCAGCCCCAAAGGTGAACGTTCGCCATGCAAATACATTCATTCCCACACACAGGGTTTGCCACTATTCCGATCCTTCGTCAAAAAAAAAAAAAACCACAAAACCAAAAAAAACAGACAGGCAGACAATACTCCGGGGTTTGCACTCCTCTTCCCTGTAATTTTGGGTTTGTGTATTTTTAATCAAGAAATTCATCTCTAGTGACTAAATAAAACAGCCTCAATACAAAATATTAAGCCTTCCCAAAAACCCCACCCCTATGTATTCCATCGGTAGAATGTAACAGTTTCAGGAAGGATTTATCTCTAAGCTTGAAGGCAGAAAACGTATCAGCCTATGTTTCCTATAATAAATAAAATGGGCGAGGCCGGGACACAGCTGCACTACAGTGATGAAAGACCAGTTTAGTATGTTACCTGCCCTAAAACCTGCCACTTCTAAAAGAAAAAATTAATTGCAAAGCTTTGTTATCTCTGGAATGGTGACTATTTACTCCTTCCTTACTCGGAACAAGCCCCCATGAAATGTCACCAGCATTTAATAATGCAGCCTCCCGAAGGACGGCAGCCTTCATTAACAGGGTGAAGCAAGGTGTTGTCCGACAGCACCTGCAGCACCCCATAGTCAACACATCTGAGATCACTGCTATAGTTAGTGCATTTTTCTAGCACTGGCGAAATGCGGGTGTTGCACTCACGAGCCTTCACGACAAGCCTTCTTCACAAGAAGAAACAAACCACCCCAAGAAGCATCTGGGTGTATACTGACAATTTTCACTAACGTTATTTCCTCCTCTCCCACAAACACTGATTTTTAAGAGAATCTTGCTAAGAATATTTGTGTGTGGCTATGTAAACTCTCAGGATCCGGGAACATCAGCCCCCC